AAGTTTAGTGTTAAAAAAACCGACGCTACATCTTAAAATTGCATCAGCTTTTTCGACAATATACGTGCTCTGAGAGAGATAAAGATAATTTTTCAATGTTATATATGCATGATGTGTTCTGGTACACTTGGTTATCAAGTTCACTTAAGACCTCAAGGTTCACAGATCGAGTCCCGGGAATGTTAAAAATATGAAAGAATGTTAAAAATACGAACTCTTTCTTTTCTTTATCTTTCCTAATTCTTGGTTCCTAACAGGTTGGTAGTCTAAATCCTAGCCAATTCATCTTTGAATGAAGCATTGTGAAAAAAGTCAATGGAATGATTGATGTTGCAAAAGACATCATGACAAAAATCAGATGGTTTGGGATGTGGATGAATTGGGGTCTATTGAACTTACTGCTGCACAAGTAGGCAACTGAAATCGATTCAAGGTATTCGGTGTCTCAGACTTGCCCTTGAGCAAGTATAACCAGGTGAATTGTGTGTGTGCGTCTACAAATGTAACATCATTGGAAACCACAAGTAGATATAGAAATGGTGCAGGGAACCACAAGTCACTAAAGATTAACTCAGAAGTCAGAAGTTTTAGTATAAACACTAGTGGATAGAGAAGGAAGTCTATGACCTTTACCAAGACAACAAGGGGCACAAAAATCAACGGCAGATTTATTCACAAAATGAAAATTACAATTTCAGAAAAACAATTTTCATTACATCATCACTTGGGTGCCGTTTGCCTAAAGAGGGTTTAGAGTGCCATGTGGGAAAGGAAATAGAATTGTTAGTGGTAGTGTTTACAACAGGACTGTGTACATAGAAAGAGACTGTAGAGCTAGATCTAAGAGTCTTACCTCTAAAGACCATAGAAGGTAATTTTTGGTGTTCATCACAGAGATCAAGTGAGAGAAGGCGTCACCAGCAGAAAAAATTCAATGGTTCAGTGTTGAACAGAAGACATTGTGGAGGAGGAGGAATTTGATTGGAAGTCATAGGTTAAGGTTCAAACTAAGCTCTTGATACCATATTGAGGATTGACAAAAAATAATTCAACAGCTCAGCGTTGAACGGTGGAGGAGGTGGAGTGGGACTTTGATTGGAAGCCATAGGTTTAGGGTTTGAGGATCAAACTAAGCTCTTGATACCATGTTGAGTTTCGGATAGAATTTAGAGCTAGGATTTGTAATATGTAAAATGAATTCACACCACTTGAAATTGATATACATTATACAATAGGTAGTTATAGTAGAGGTTAGAGACACTAAGCTCTGACAACTTTAACTAACTCTGAAGTTAGAGATGACAGCTGTCACTTTGAAAACTAAAAGGGGATAGTCTATTACTGCTGTACATGAAAAAAAAAATGTTTACAGAGTAAAACTATACTATAATAAGGTCAATCACATTTCTAAGGCCAGACTGCATTTGAGACAAAACTGGACCAAATTGCATCTGGAAAAAAAACTGGGAGGCTGCCAGGCTACATTTGGGACTGTGATAGGGGGTAGATCATAGTTACCAATTCCAGATTGTGTTGTGGAGTGACCAATCCCATAACTGGCAGCATGGATGCTATTGTGAAATTCTAGATGCATGTTAAATAATTCATAATTTCATACACGAGTGTGCGCACACTTGTGCAAATGCTCAAATATAAAATATTACCTGAAATTGGAGACATTCATATGCTGGTGATAGAGAACAGAGATGAAATCATGAAAAACCTGTGAGAGTGAGAGAGCATTTACTGCACAACAAAATGAAAAGACAGAATAATGTGTAAGAGAAAGCTGGGAAATGAGATTGAATTGAATAGAAGCAACAGAACAGAACCTTCTAGATAACAGATCAAGGCCAGAAGGTGCTGCAAAATGTCGGAAATTGCTGGAGAAGGTGCCAGCGAACAGTGTTTCACGTTCCAGAAACACAAGGGAGAACAGAACATCAGAGATGGTGCCAGAGAACAGCACAAGGTTAGTCAGATGTAAATGAGCCAAGCAGAACCGCAGAACAGAGACTATGGCATGAAGAAGTGATGTCAGAAATGAATCAAACAAGTCAGATTATTAGGGTGGGCAAGTTTACAAATTTGCCCCCCCCCCCCCCC